TCCATAATTTAACATACAAGTCATTGAAATCAAAACAATTAAAATAAATCCAATAATTGATGTGTCATTAAAAATAAATAATATTAAAATAGTTATTATTTTGCTGAGCTTCCATCTAAACGATGCGTTTGGGTTGCTTTTGTTATTCATCCTTCCCCAAAATGCATCGTTTGGGAAGTGTGCCGAGCAAAAAGTAGACAAGTTGCATTGACAGCATGGGGCCCACAACACTTACGGTATACTTCCTCCGTTTTCTTTTACTTGCATCAGTTCCCTAAAAAGGAAATGTCACAATACTTGCAATACACTATAAAAAGAAAGTTATTTTAGGAAAAAACTATACTATTTTACTTATTTAAATCACATGGTCCACTAAATTACACTCCTAATAACCATTCATCCTACTTTAAAGTTTATTATATCATGTAAACCCCACCTTTCTTAATTATCGCGCTAAAGGGTGTGTTGCATCTAAAAGAAAACGAAAGAAGTAATAAAGTAGGCAAGTAATGATCATGTGCCCTAAAAAATGGTTTATTGTCCCCCTAAATTATTATCTTTTCATCTAAATGTTACTCCTTTCCTTTCATAATGTTAGTCTCAAATACCATTTTAGAATTTTTAAAAAGATCTACCCATATTAAATATATTCCATTTTTAATTGAATATTTATTTCCTGTTTTATAATTGTTAAATTCTGATTGGTTAAATTAATTGATCGTTGATTGATGACATGGCTCTAAGTAAGGAAATTCCTCCCTTGAATTATGCAATTATGATTGTTGCTTTCCAAAAAAAAAATCAAAATTTAAATAGGACAAACTAATTATGAACTGCCTTTCAAAAAAAATAAAATTATGAACTGTTTTTGTACTTTAATGTTAGATTCCAAATACTCTTCTTTTCTTATTTAATGCGATTAGTTCCACATAGGACTATCATATAGAAACCAAGGGAGTAATTTTTAACATGTAGAATATATTTTATTAATGTATATGCATAAAAAAATTAAATTTATAGTAAATTAATTAATTTTGACTTAACCACATGCATTGCATGAGTATGAGGTTAGTATCTATTAAGGGCGTGTTCGGCGCTAGCTTTTGAGTAGCTTTTAGGTAACTTTTAGTGGTTTGACCAAGTCAAATCACTACTTGTCAAAAAATGTGAGTGTTTGACAAAGTAGTGGTTAGGGCAACTTTTAGTGGTGGAGGTAGCTTTTATGAAAAGTTAGAAAGATTAGCTTTTGAAATTAGAGGTAGCTTTTGAGGTAGCTGTTGAAAATTTAATCTATAGTTTTAAAAATAAAATGTTGATTTGTATATGTAACAGCTAGTCAACCGCTACTTTACCGAACCCTCATATCTAAATTATTTATCTTCATAGCTAACAGCTTGTTGACAGCTAACATCTACATACACAGCTCAAAGCTGTCACCACATCTACAGCTATTTTCACAGCTATATTTTGCCGAACATACCCTAAAACAAGTAGTACACTTTTATTTTTTAAAATCGCTGAACAAGGCAAGTGTGATGTTTTGTTCAACTTATTTCAGGACATTGTTACTACCTCAAATAAGATTAGAACAAATAAGTTCATTTTAGAAAGTTCTAAACGTCATTTATTGTTTTATACACTTTTTTTTAATTATTGATAAACATATTTAATTTTGTAATGAAAAATTATGAAAATTACCTATTAAAAAAAATAAAAAAATATTACGAATTTAACAATATCCCATTTGATACTACTTGCGTTATCTTGAGTACTGCCCATTAACTATTATTAATAAGGTCAAAGTTTGAAACTTTTTACCATGTATAATTGCATGTATTCGTTTGTTAAACATTATAAAGTTGGATCTTATTAGATTCATATTGTTATGAGTTTTCTATATATCAACTTTGTATAATTTTAAGTAATGGACAATAAAGAAATTAATGGTCAAAATAGTGCATTAGATATCGTTAAAAATGCAAGTAAAGTGAGAACAAGTTATAATGAGAACCAAGGCTAAAATGAGAACAAGAAACTAATCTAGGCCCTTAGATTATTCTAATCGGATGGTCCACATGCATCCGATTATAAGTAAATGAAAAGTTAGTAAAAGTAAATGAAATCAGTCATAAAGTAAATGAAATTGCCTTAAAAAGTTAAAAAACTGAATTTTTTTAAAAGATGCGAAATTACAAAATTGCCATTGATGAATGCTGGTGAAACGTAAACCGTTAGATTAAGCGTGATTAAAGGCTAATATAGGTTACTAGTTCTCATTATTTAACTTGGTTCTCACATAATTATATATATATATATATATATATATATATATATATATATATATATATATATATATATATATATATATATATATATATATATATATATATATATATATAACCAAGTTATAATGAGAACCAAAGCTAAAATAAGAACTAGGAACTACTCTAGGCTCTTAAATCATGTTAATCAGATGGCTCACATGCTTCCCGTGTCATTAATGGCATTTTCGTAATATTTCAACTTTGTAAAGTGTTTTCCAGCTTTATTTCTAAAAAGTAAATAGAAAGTTAGTTAAAGTAAATGAAATCAGTCATAAAGTAAATGAAATTGCCTTAAAAGTTTAAAAACTGGAAAAAAGTTGCAAAAACTGCATAATTACGAAAAAGCCATTAATGAATGCGGGTGAAACGTGAACCATCAGATTGAGTGCGATCAATGGCTGAGATTGGTTCTTAGTTCCTATTATTCACCTTGGTTCTCACATGATCTCAATTATATATATATATATATATATATATATATATATCATAATAAGACAAAAAATATATCTGTAATTAATTATATTTTTCAAAGGTATTTTCAGTAATAAACTTTTTCTCCACAACTACATAGGGTCTTTTCTCTTCAGCTTATTTTCAGTTCAATTCAGCTCCAATTAGTTCACTTCATTTCAGTTCCTATTTTCCTTCTCTCATAAAGTATTCAGTTCACTTCTGTTAAGTTAAGTTCTGTTCAATTCAGTTCAGTAAATCAGAACAAGACCATAATCAAACACTCAATCATCTTGTTTAGTTATGATTTGATTCGGTGAAACTACTAAATTTTGTTCGAATAGTGTGAAAAGACAAAGTGATTCAAATATTGAGAAACAAAAGAAGTACATACAACTTAACATGAAAAGGTTAAGATGTTGATTTCTTTGTTTAACTAAACAAACAACATAGAGAATGAAAAACTACTTTTAGGAAATATTTTTAAAGGTTATCTAACACCTTATGGGCGTTCGTTAGCACTATTCCTTTTTAATATATGGTATGATTTTTGTAAAGATATTGAGGAATGGGAGAAAAAAAACTTGAATATATTAGGGTGGTTAATGAGCGCGAGGCGCGACACACGCGCCATATCTAATTCTGTTCGAGGAGCACTATTTTTTTTAAGGTGTTTAGAGAGCCACGAGTGCAATTGATGAGACTCGATGCTAGAATTATATGGCACCGGAATGAGAGCTCTAACCACTTGAGCTATCCCTTTCTCTCTCCAAGAATATTTCAATTTTTTTTTTTTAAAAAAGAAGCAATGATATACTTACCAATGACAATTGCATGTATTAAATCATACTGGTGGCTATTAGTGATAATACATGGATCATCCTGCGTAGCCTTGCCAAGGTAGCCTTCTGGGCATGTACAATTATAACTTCCAGGGAAGTTATGACAATACTCTTGTGTTTCACAATTATTCAAGCCAGAGTCCTTGCATTCATCAATATCTGGATATTAACCCAATAAGCGATTAGTATAAATTACATTGATGCATGATTTACAATATAGAAAAACCTCATAAATGAAACAAGTGACAGAGAGTAAGTATAAATTACTTGATGATTGGACTTACTAGTGAAGGTAGATTACCTTGACAATCATTAAGGTAGGGATTGCCCTGGAATCCAGGTTAGCATTGGCAACGGTAACCCCATAGCCCCGGTAGGCCATCAACACACACGGAGTTACCTTTGCATAATAATTTTTCCTTAGCTGCTAGCACGCTTTCGCACTCTTTTGTTCCAATAGACCAATTATAGATCATTGAATAATTATCGAATATACTTGTATCATTAGACACAAAGAAATCTGTAGTAACAGAAGCATTTTCTTTGCCCACAGAATTATGGTGTGGTGAAGACAATAATAATATTGCTACTAAGATTAATAAACTATGAACCCAACCAAATTCTCCTTCCAACATTCTTTTTGTTCACAAAGTTATGTGATGAACTCATGCATGTTTGTTTTTACAGAATTATTTATAGAACAAGACAGTGGCGCCCAGGGTCTTTGTGGAATTGCTTTATTATTGCCTTTCTTTTTATACTTTTTCTTTTGCTTGGTGTTGAGCTTTATCAATTTCTTTAAGGAAATGATTTTTCTCTCTTTTTTATTAGTCTTTTCAATGTAGGAATATAATACTATCTAGGGATTGTTATAGACATACACTAGATTAGGTCCCGTGCCACACACGGTAATTTTAAATAATTATATTGAATCAAAATAACATTTAATTAAAAAAACATACATTTGTTAACAAAAACAAAAAAATACTTAAAGAATTTGTTTCTAAAAAACCAAAATATTATGATTTAATTTATTTTGAAATTAATACTATAATTTAATTAAACATACATTTGTTTTTCAAAAAATGTAAATTTTTCTAAAATAGTATGATGAATTTATTATGAAATAACCCATTAGCCACATAGGTATTTTAATGTACACATTTGACAATACCCGGCCTATAATATTTGTATATTTAACCAACATATTAATACTTTGACCCAAACATCCTCAATACCTAAAGTGACCCAAATTAAAATTACCTTATACTCGAAATAAAGTGAACAAAAAATACATGATTAAGCTAATACCCAAAGTTATCTAACCAATATAAGTCCAAGTTAATTGACCCAAACCAAATCTTGTACAAAGTGATAATGATGACAAAAATAACAATGATATTAATCGAGATATAGAGAAAGTATCTCGATTCTTCTTTTTACTATCTCTATCCTTTTTTTTTTCATGTTTCTTCATATTATCTTTTACTTTCTCATGATTCATCATCTTATCTTTCACACCACCAATTCCTTTTATCAGATGTCTCGGACAAGACCACTTCCATCTATTCATTTATGTCAAATTATGTATATGGTCAAGATCTGTATATACAAAAGGTGAATTCTTTCTCTTTATTTATTTATTTTTTTTTATTTTTTTTTATGCAATGCATTCTTTCTCTTATCATAATACTGTAAATAATTCTGACTTCAATGTTCATCCATAATACTCGTAATGTTATTTACCCATAAAAAAAGTGAATTCTTTCTCTTATCATAATTTCGATCATTTTCAATGAATTTAAGATACAATATTAACTTTTCTTTAAAAAAAAAAATGAGATACAGTATTAACTTTATTCACTGAAATCCAATTGTTTTTTTTTTTTTTTTTTTTTTTCCAGATGGAGACATTGAATCTGGACATATGTTGAAGGTTTTACAAAGGAAGCGTTCATATTGTAAAGTTGAATTACGAAAATTTGTAGTTAATGCAATAGAATATTTCATATTTTAGATATCATATGATCTGAGTTTGCAATATACGGAGTACGTTATTGCAATATACGAAAATTTTTTTGTTGTTTAATACATTGGCCCGTTCACTTCGTCTTATTTTTACTGAAATGAAATTAATTTTATTAAAGTGAAATTATTTTTGCTGAATTTAAATTATTTTTACTTAAATGAAATTAATTTTACCGACTCCCTCAAAAAAAAAAAAAAACTTATTGAACTGTTTTTTTTTTTTCTTTTATAGATTTTTTTATTATATTTCTTCTTTAAGTTTACAGATTTTTATTTGAACTGAAATTATTTTTACTGAACAAAAATTATTTTTACTGTATTGAACTTATTTTTACTAAACTGAAATTAATTCTATTGAGCTTTTACTGAATATTACATGACCTTCTTTTGTCTTAGGAGTGCAACTAGGTGCATAGCAGCTGCGATTCTTTTATTGTACCATTATACTTAAAGTGGTATTTTTAATATATTATTATACTGCCTCCGTTAACGGTTATTTGCAACATTTGCCATTTTAGGAAGCTACCTATTATGTGCAACAATTTTTTTTCTTTCCACTTTTAGTAACTTTTTGATAACAAAATGACCATATTACCCTTACTTAAACAACTTAGACATCTAATTAAATCACTAACCTGATTTCACTCTTTACCTAATGAATCTGATTATTATAATCATTTTCACCAAAAATCATTCACCTTCATCAAAATCGTTCATCTTCCAAACCCTTACTCAATTGAAATCTCTAGAATTTAAACCCTAACTCTACATTTTGGTTTATCTTCCCCCTTCTCTCTCCTCTTGCGATTTGGGTTTGGGTTCGTTTGGGTCGTGGGTTTGGGTTCGTGGAAATGTGTTCGTCTGGTTCGTGGGGTGGTTTTAGGGGTTTCGGATTTGGTTTGTGGGGGTGGCGTGAGTTTCGTGGGGATGGGTCTTCGTGGTGGGTGGGTCTGGTTTCATGGATATTTGTGGGTTTGGTTTCGTGGGGGCGGTGTGGGTGGTTTTGGTTTAATTGGGTTTTGTGGTGGTTTCTGTTTTATTGGGTTTCGTGGGGTTCAATTCGTGGTGGTTTCGGTTTGATTGGATTTCGTGGTGGTTCAATTCGTAGTGGTTTCGGCTTGATTGGGTTTCATGGTGGTTCCATTCGTGGTGGTTTCTGTATGATTGGGTTTCGTGGTGGTTATGGGTGGTATGGTTCTGGGTTTCGTGGTGGTTATGGGCGGTGATGGTTCTGGATTTCGTGGTTCTTCCGGGTGGTGGTGGTGGTGGTTTTCGGTGGTTCTGGGTTTTGTGGTGGTTTCGGTGGTTGTTATGGGTTTCAGTGGTTTAAAGTTTTTTTTTTTTTTTTTTTTTTTTTTTTTTTTTTTTTTTTTGGGGGGGGGGTGTGTGTGTGTGTGTGTTAGATTAATACTTATGTACATCCATTATATTTTAATAATGATGTTTAAAAACTTTTGCCTAGGAGTTCATGCTACCCCCTTTGTTGCAAATAACTGTTAAAGGAGGTAGTATATATAGTTTATACTACTAGAGTATATGTTGTTTTAGTAGTACTATTTATAGCCATTATAAGTAATAGTGGTACAACATTTGTATTACTAGAAAAAAATAAAATTAATCACTCTTTTATCTTATAACTGCTATTTACATGTCATGTAAATAGCAGCTATGCGCCAATACTTAACCCCTTTTAATACTATTGCAACAACTGGACTTTTACATTATTCATCATAATTGTTTGACCACATATTATGATCTATACGTAAAATAAAATGTAGTCATATGGGTCTTGTTAGATTTGTCTCGTAAAATACTATCACAATATCAACTAATTATTAATTTTTTTCTCTTATATAATTATAGATATTTAGCATATAAAATGTGCTTTGAAATGCGTAATTTCATCCTTGTTGTAATATTTGTGGAACGAACCCTATTCTTTAGAGCTGTTTTGCTCTACTCTACTTAAATATAATAATAATTATTATTAATATTAATATTTAATACTCCGTAATAATTAATAATAATAATAATTAGTATATAAATTAATATTAAATTAATAATAATAATTAATATTAAATTAGTAATGATGACAATATTAATAATAATTAATATTTAATAAAATTACTAATTAATATTATATTAATAATAATGAATATTAAGTTATAAAAATAATTAATATAAAATTGATAAAATTAATCAATAATAATAAAAATAAGCTCAAAAGAACAGGATCGAAATATTTAATAATAATAATAATAATAATAATAATAATAATAATAATTAACATTAAGATTAAATTAATAGTATTAATGATTAATGTTAAATTAATAATAATAATAATAATAATAATTAATATTTATCTTAAAAATAACGATTAACAATAATAATAATAATAATAATAATAATAATAGTAATAATAATTAATGATAATAATTAATATTAATAATAATAATAAGAAGAAAATAAAAAGAACAATAACAATCATAATAACAATAACAATAATAATAATAATAATAATAATAATAATAATAATAATAAGTGGGGAAGATTTTGCAGCTGATTATGGAGGAAGGGCCTCGTTTTGGGTTACATCTTAACGTGGACAAAACTGAAGTTTTCTGGCCTATAGAAGACCCCTGAAGCAGGCTTCTAGGTGTCTTTCCACCTAACATTGCTCGACCTTCGCGTGGTGTTAAGTTGCTTGGTGGTCCTGCTAGTTCTGATTCTGATTTAGTAGTGAGCTTGTGATGCATAGGGTGACCAAGACCATTGCGCTTATGGATAAGGTTGCTACGCTGGATGATCCTCAGTGTGAGCTATTGTTACTTAGGGCTTGTACCGTAGTTTCTAAACTCTACTTTGCGTTGTGTACTTGTCCCCCTATTACTTTTGAGGCGGCTAAACGCACTTTTGACGGGGCTCTTCGGTCTTCTTTGGAGCGTATTGTTACTGCCTCAGGACCTGGGTTTGGCGATTGGCAGTGGCGGCTTGCCACTTTACCATTTGCGTTTGAAGGGCTTGATGTTTATTCTGCAGGTGAAGTTCGGCATTATGCTTTTCTTGCTTCTCAGTTACAGTCTACCGGGTTGCAGACAAAGCTTCTACGACATGCTGACATTGTTGGTCATGGTCGAGCTTTTGAAGACGCTTTGGGTCTGCTTAATGGCGTGGTGGAGTCTGATTTTTTAAGTAATCCTAGTGAGGTCGCTGCCCCGAAACTCATGAAGAAATTGGCAGATATATATTTTACGAAGGTTACTGTAGGGAATAAATTTCAAGCGTTAACCCCATGCTTGAACCCCACTGTGATCATACACTAAAGTACGGTGGCGTCCAAAAGGGAAGAAGATAGAGCAAAAGAGTCGCCAACAAGTTTTAGGAACTTGTAAACCGTTCACAGGGTGAAGGTTACACCCCTTAACGATCCAAGAGATCGTTAACTCCATAAGGTCTTGAACCAAATAAGGGTTCGGGGATGAAGGTACAAATCCAACCTAAAAGAGATTGAACCTGCCCTAATAATAGGCCTCTACTTTATTCTGATCTTATTCATGTGCGCTTTCTAATTAACATACGATCAATAGGATTAACCCTAAACCTGTTTATCTATGTTGGTTGAATATAATGCACAAATAATCTATTATTGGCGATCACTTGAATTATAATCATATTAAACCTAACAAGATTATTAATTATCTTATTAAGCGTGATTACAGGTACCAATTCCCTTTAAGCATGCATGAAAAGGTGTGATCAAGCAATAACAGTAAATATCAAGCAACATAATAATAAAATAAATATCATCATTATAAAATTATAATCATAAAAATAATTATAATTAAAACAATCATAATAATCATAATATCAATAATAATAATGATCATCACAATAACAATTATAATAAATATTATAATCATAAAATCATAATCATAGCAATCATAATTAATAATAATTATAATAATCGTAATAATAATTATAATAATATTCATGTTAATAAAGCATAATAATAGCAAGATCCTAGGCATGATACTAACACGATTAATAACAAACCCCAGCATGTCACTAAGCAATAAAAATCAAATCTTTAACCCTAACATGATACCAACAATCATAAATATTAGGAAGAACATAGGAGGCATCGCAGGAATCATAATAAACATATTTGATATAATAACCTTTTCCGTAAACATGATTCTAGGAATATCATAATAACAACTTAAGCATAATTTCTACATCATAACATCAATAAAAACCATTAAAGTACTTAATTTTATGCCTCGTACCTCTTTCTAATAACAAAATACACACGTTAGTAATTTCAAGGAAAATAATAAAACAATTAAATCAAATAATTGAAATAGAGATTTGGGACCAAACCCTCAGAAATTAAACCTTTCACGTCTAGGGCGAAGGCAACTTCGAATATGGATAGGTGTTTCTAGATCTTGCGAATGCGGAATTTTGTATATAAAAGACTAGTTTAGAAAAGGAGAAAGAGAAAGAGAGAGAATGATCAAGAAAACTTGATGAGAATTGGTGAATAATTAAAAGAGAATGAGAGAATTAATGATTACGAATGAAAACTGATTGTAGGTGAATATAGATGAATGTTGATGATTGAAAACGGAGTTTTTAATACGTTATTTATAGAGAAAATCAGCCAAAAAGATAAAATATCAAAACAGAGCACTTGACGCACGTAAAACAGAGCTGGCGCCAGGCACCAACACTAGCGCCAGGCGCCAATGCCTGGAGTCAGGCGCCAGGCCTTTTTTGACGCGTTTTCGAAAATCAGATAAGTTTGCCGTACTGGAGGATAAAATCGTATATTTTCCTCAAAAATGCTATTTGATTTTAATTAAAACTCTGAAAAGTAAAAAAAAGTCAATTTATCAATGCTAATTGAATTAGGAATGAAAAGAACCTTCTAGAAGAATCTAGAAGACTAAAACCATTCCTAATTGCATTAGGAATGATAAATCATATTGGGCCCTCCTCTAGATCATTGGGCCGTATAAGGCTCAAAACGGGCCCAGTTTAGTAAATTGGCCATAACTTCCTCAATAGTCATCGGAATCGGGCTTATAATA